TACGGCCCCGCACTTTCAAGGGCCCCGCGCTAAATGCTTTCAAGCTATCAATTCCGGTTCAGTGATTCTGCACTTGCTCTATTACTATAGTACTATACTGCCTTCAACTTTTACGAACGACTGGGTGTTTAAGGTTAGCGATTTGTCGTATTATCTGGCTGTATAGCAAATGAAAAAATAAAATTACTTTACTATGCAAGTAAAAAACAGGTTTTAATATTAACGTTGTTTTTATTTCGGGCCCCTTTATATTATTGGCACTGCCCGCGATAAGCTTTTTTTTTGTCAGACAGGTGCCGCACGTCTCGCGTGTCGCATCGGGGGGCCGTGGCGTGCAGTGGCCATTCGAGGACAGCCCATGTTGTGATATTATTCAACAAAGCCCGCCCGTGAACAGCGGCCGTTCAACGCTGCAGCACGGAAACGTACACGGAAGACAGAAGATCGCCCTGATAGCCTTTAACAAGCGCTTTTGGCGAGTAGCACCGATAAAGGCCGACACAGCGCACGAGTAGGTGGGTGGATAGCACCACACCAGGCCGCCTTTGTCTCCCCAGGTGTGATGTTCACACATCGCATCAGATACTGATTTGAGGCTGAGTCGAACTAGGGGAGGCCCAGGACCAGTTGAGATATTACGCACCGGTGTTGTGCCGTGAGCGGGAAGGAATCCACCTCGGGTCGCCAAGTTCGCAGAGCAGCGCGCTAAATTAATTAATTTAGAACTGCGTTTTGTGTTTAGTTTGTCGTCCTTCCCAGCACCTCCGATTAGCACGGTTAGAGATGTATGGTGCGAAAGAAGTTCAAAATACCTCCCGCGTATGTATAGCTGTGACAATTAGGGTTGCTTTGAAGGGTAAAAACTCAGCCCTGCAATTCCTTGCTCTCGCCACTGCCGGCAGAAGAGGCCTCCACTTAGAGGTAACTCTACAGAGAAACTCTAGAATTAGATGTTTGCCAGTGGCCAGACGCCTTGGAAAGGCTGTGGGTACCCACACTTTACCCTACCGCACGCGACCCACCTGCCGATCGACTACCGACCATGGTGTACCCATTTATAAACGTACGGTGGACAGAGGCGACAAGGGTATTTAAGACATTTGCGCTATTATATAATGTAACAATCATTTAAATGTGTAATGCCCCGCACATTCTTTGCGAGGAGGAACCACAGCTGAGCGGGAAGGCAGCAGCAGCAGCACCAGCCAGGTGGTGCTCCGACACCAACAGTTTCCCGAGCTCTGCGGTCCCTTACATATGAAGTTGTTTTCAGCCGACACATGCACGCCTACATTTGTGAGGAAGCGGCAGTAACCAGAGAAAACCCGCACGCGCACGAGGGACAAGCAATCGATCCCATTGTTTTCAACTGCCGCGACGGGAGATGAAGTTGAACCGGCGACCTCTGAACTCACTGCAAGTCCAGTGCGCTGACCATTGGGCCACAGTGGCAGCATCATAATCCGGTCTTGAAAGGTATCTAATATAAGATAAAAAAAAACACAGCTCGCAAATTACAATCCATCCCCTGATGTGCACATGGTGTGCCGAGGATTATACCAATAGAGGAAATTAAAAGCTAATAATAAAACGATTTCCATTGAATTATATATAGTATTTTTTCCTATACGAGTATAATGCGAATATAGTGTCCTAACGAGCGCTTCTGTGCTAACGCTGCTCGAAACTTAAACTCTAGGCCTAAAACTTGACCCAAAGTCAATCTGAATCAGAATATTTATTTATACTGCAGGAGGAATACGATGAGCTATAAAGCTCTTTGTTTTAACAGATGTCCAGTCGGGGCATGGGATCGGGAAGTTACAACAACAAACAATACAACACAATAGGATTTTAAGCTTTCGTGACTGCAGGGATTCATATTTTTGGTACTTTCGGTAAAGTCACGTAGAAGGGAAACAATAAAATAATAAAAATATAAAACAATAATTATTATTTTTATTGTGTTGTTTCCCTTCTGCGTGACTTTATCGAAAAAACCAAGAATATAACACAATAGGAGTGCAACGTATAAGAAATAACTATTTTTTTTTATTAAACTAAACTATTTTACTTTACCAGGTAAGGCCCACTAAGCTAATAGTTTCTAATATGGGACCTTTCTTGCCAGTCTGAAAATATGATAATAGTATTTGGTTCTTTCGGTAAAGTCACGTAGGTATAAAATAAAATAAATCACGACGTTTCGGGCGCAACACAAGCGCTGATGATGGACGCTTGTTGTGCGCCCGAAACGTCGTGATTTATTGTATTTTATACCTACATGACTTTACTGAAAGAACCAAATAGTATGGATTCCTGCAGGTACGAAAGCTTCAAATCAAGATATAAGAATAGGTGTTACCCTTTCTGGCAATAAAACAGGTGTTAAGATGTTAAAACACCAAACAGAATCGCTTTTCAAGGAATAATTTCTGCATTAACCACACGTACTTGTGGTGAACATGCAAACACACAATAACATGCTCTGATGATAATAATTTATGCATTTTTCGATTTAAAGCTTTCGTGACTGCAGGAACTGATATTCGTGAGAATTTTATTGTTTTATTTTTATTATTTTATTATTTCCCTTCTACGTGACTTTACCGAAATCACCAATAATATAATATATGCATTGTCTTTGAAACTGATTGGTCCACAGGTCGCTTCTTTTCTTCTTTTCAGAAGCGACCTGGCCACAAATGATAGCTCAATGAATTGTCTTATCACGTGGAAATGTATGGCAGCCAAATAATCGAATTAATCTTAACGCATGTTTCCCCATCTGATCGCAGCTCTCAAAAGAACTTCAAACCCTAGACCAACAGCTGAACACGTCCGTCACTCTGCCCTTCAAAGGTAACATGTATAATTGGCGACGTTTCGGGCAACGGCCCTTCTTCAAAGCACATAAACCAAACAGTGTGCAGTCGAGCGAGCGGCTCGCAATCCCCCCGGGGTCGATAAAACGCGTACCACTTTGCGGGGAAGTTGACGGCGCTTGCCCTGTAGATAGACTCGCCCCCGGTCCTAAGAATGTGGAATTTTCACGAGTAACTCAGGGCGGCAAACGAGAGATGAACACCGCTTCAGGGCTCGTTTGAGCAGAAGGTCACTTTGACTCTTCACAGGACGAATAATCCACTGGGCTTGATGTCGGGGGGCACCGGTAGCGTGTATGAAACGGGGCCCCCTCGACTTTCTCCGTGTCCCCCCTCTCACGTCACACGTCCCCGACCAGGATACTGCAACGTTGGCACGACGTTGGAATGCGCTTGGAGCAAACTGGTCCCTGCCTTGCTACCTACCCTGGTCCCGAACATAGCCAGAATGTGCCACACGCTTAAACAATCAATATCAACCAAACTAGCCGCAGGGAATTCCCCCGAGAGGGGATCTATCGAGCTCCCTCGAGTGGAACCGCTTGAAGCACCACCACCACCATCACCACCAGCAGCAGTCTCAGGGGCTGCCCCTTTGCCTTTCAAATTTGTTTTACTCTGCGCCATGTACTGCTGTTGCATACCTGTCAACTCCTTATCAGTGCCCTATTTTATTACAGACCAATTCACACCTTATTGGTCACCCCGTACCCTTATAAATCTCAACGTTCGTCTTACAAAGTCCCATTACGAGGACGAAACACAAACCGACACACGTTATTTTACTAAAACGGACTCATTTTGAAAATTGGCGTCAATGATGCTACTTATCATGCTTACTGTCTGTGATATTGCATGCTGATGCTGCTGCTTACTTGATATGCGAATGCACAAACTCACGTAGATTTATGGTGCCCATATTGAAACGGCTGTAGACCGTATGGACCTGAAAACTCAATTTCCCCGTACAAGAATGCGGGGCAAACCGTATGGGTTGACAGCGATGCTGTTGCAAGCAGGGGGATTGCTTCACTATTGTGGCAAATCGCCCGATGATGCTGGATGCAATTACCAGCGAAACGTCGTACTACTCAGATTGCAAATGTCGTGGATTGACTCTCCAACACACCGGTGGGCTGAAGTAGTAAACTTATTGGCGCGTTGTTAACGTGACAAACCCCACTGGCCGTGTCGGGTGGTGGAGTGTTCCGACGAATTCATACTTACGCGATCCAACCAAAAACATTCATCGTGAATAATATTGGTCGCGAAAGCCTGCTACGTGTTGCCATGTCAACACGAGGCCGTACACACCGCCAACCACACGCCGCGCCTCCTCTTCCTCCACCTCTTGCTCTTCTCTCCTACTGCTGCTGCCCCCTGCTGCTGGTGCTGCCCAGCAGCAGGGGGGGCAGCAGCAGGGGGTGGCACCACCACCAGCACCACCACCAGCACCACCACCAGCACCACCAGCACCACCACAACCACCACCAGCACCACCCTCGTCTCTCTCCCGTCCCTCGCCGCACGCCGCTACGTCACCACCCCCCTCCGCACCCCCCCCCGTTACACCCCCCCCGTTACACCCCCACAGTTACACCCCCCCCGTTACACCCCCACCGTTACACCCCCCCGTTACACTCCCCCCCGTTACACCCCCCCCCGTTACACCCCCACCGTTACACTCCCCCCCGTTACACCCCCCCCCCCGTTACACCCCCACCGTTACACCCCCCCCCCCCGTTACACTCCCCCCCGTTACACCCCCCCCGTTACACCCCCCCCCCCGTTACACCCCCCCGTTACACCCCCCCCCCCGTTACACCCCCACCGTTACACCCCCCCCCCCCGTTACACCCCCCCCTGTTACACCCCCCCCCCGTTACACCCACCCCCCCCCCCGTTACACTCCCCCCCGTTACACTCCCCCCCGTTACACTTCCCCCCGTTACACCCCCCCGTTACACCCCCCCCCGTTACACCCCCCCCCGTTACACTTCCCCCGTTAGAACCTCCCCCGTTACACCCCCCCCCCCCCCGTTACACCCCCCCCCCCCCACGAGCGAGGTTGGCACGCCCACACATCCTCGGCTCCTAGCAACGCCGCGCCGTTGCCACGGAAACAGCACTGGCCGTGGGAAGCCCTCCCTGGATCTCAGCCGCCCGGCGCATACATCCAGGCGCACACTCACAGACGCCAGGTGCCGCGAGCTCCGTCTCCGCCTCTCTCTCCGACTTCGCCTCTCGCGAGTTCCTCCGGCCGCCAGCTCCTCTCTGCGGTCTCCCCGCACGACGGAAGCGGAGAGACGGCGACGCCGAGAGAGCCAGAGCCAGAGAGAGAGAGGCACAGAGGCACAGAGGCAAAGTGACATATCTCGCCATGAGCAAAGAAGTGCAGCCTCCCGGGTACGTGATACGTTCACTAAGATTTGCGACCTGCGGGGTGGGGGGTGGGGGGGTGAGTGACTGACATGTCAAACGATCTTTTGACAGGAGTGAGAGAGACGTGCGAGCGAGTGACGATCGCGTCGCGTCTTGGATTTCATCGCCCGCGTGTTTTACGCAAAACTCAGCCGGAGGAATGAAACTAGACCACCGCCGCCGGCTCGCCCTCCCCCTACCCTCCTCCTCCTCCACCTCGAGTAGAATCTCATTCATCCTTCGTCCGTCGTTGAACGCGGTTGCCAGTTAAGGATCGAGGAGCCGAACCGCACGAGAGGAGTGCGTGGTGGCGGGGGAGTCTGGCACGACCGGCCGATCGACGCGCGATCCCGGTAGAATTCTTCACACAGCGAGCGTCGTGCGTAATGTTGTAGGCATTAAGGACCATGTTCATGATGGAGGATGAGCATGATGTGTGGTGTGTGTGTGTGTGTGTTATATATTGATATATTTTGTAGAGAGCGGTAGTGTAACGGTTTGCGCTACGCTGCGATACGAACCTGGCGACCCGGGTTCGATTCCCGCTCACGGCCCACACCAGTGACGATTATCTGAACCGGTTATGGGCATCCCGTAGGTCGACTCAGCCTCAAATGAGTACCTGGTGCGGTGTGTAAACATCGCCACTGGGGAGACAAAGGCGGCCGGGCGTGGCGCTGGTCACCCACCCCCTCGTGTACCGTTCCGGTCTTCATAGGTGCTCGCTAACAGCACTTGCCCCTACAATATGTTCAGGCTATACGGGGAATCTTTGTCTTTATATATTGGCATAGCGGTGGTGCAGCGGTTAGCGCGCTGTGCTATGAATGCCCGAACCCGAGTTCGATTCTCGCTCACGGCCAACACCAGTGACGATTAGCTGAACCGGTCCTGGGCCTCCCCTAGGTCGACTCAAATGAGTACCTGGTGCTGTGTGTAAACATCGCCACTAGGGAGACAAAGGCGGCCGGGACTGGTGTGTTGGCCACCCATGCCGTCGTGTACCGTGGCGGCCTTCATAGGTGCTCGCTAACAGCACTTGCCCCAACGGTCTGTTAAGGTCATACGGGGGATCTTTGTATTTGCTTAATGGATGGGGAGTGGTGGCGCAGTGGTTAGCGCACTACGCTACGAACCCGGCGACCCGAGTTCGTTTCAGTGAGCGTCGTGTGTATTGTTATAGACAGGGGGTCGCTCAGGTGTCTCTCTCTCTTAAGGACTGTGTTTGGTCATGATGAGGTTGATTATGATGTGTGTGTACTTGCTATATGGATGGGGAGCAGTGGTGCAATGGTTAGTGCACTTGTGCTACGAACCCGACAACAAACCCCAGCTTGATTCTCGCTAGCGACCAATATCAGCGGCGAATATTTGAACCGATTTTGGACCTCCCCTAGGTCGACTTAGCCTTGAATGCATACGTTGGTGCGGAGTGTAAAAGATCAGCACTGGGGAGACAAAGACGGCTCGGGCGTGGTGTTGACCACCCCGACCACTTCGCACGCCGTGTCAGCCGTCATTGGTCCTGGGTACTCATATCTCTTTCGAAAGATTTGTCCGGCGTGAAAGAGTAGACTAAAATCCCATCCAGCGGGGGCTCCTTTTTCGCGAACAGTGCTGCGAGCTGCCAATTGCAGGGCTGCGCCTTTACCTTCGACGTCCAAGCGGGGTGGTGGAGAGGGTGACTCGGGGGGTGACTAGGTGGGTGACTAGAGGGGTGACAGATGCATCTGGGATGCTCTGGGTTAGTTCCGTAGCGGACACACTACCCGTTCGACAACTCAATTTTCTCACGTTATTAAAGCTGCAACCTTTGTTTTTGCATTCGTACACACGTGTCCCCATTATAAATATCACGCGTGCTACGCTCTGGTACGCGTGGTATGCTCTGGTACGCGTGGTACACGTGGTACACGTGGTACACGTGGTACACGTGCCCCGAGTGAAATGCCGAGTTGTGGCCCTCCTCCAGGTTGACTCAGCCTCAACGCATCACCCGCTGCGTTTCTGTCAACGACGTTCCCCTCTTTGTGCCGAAACAGCCCTAATAGGCGCTCGCTAACAACGCCTGCCCTGCACGGCAGCCTCCTCCTGCAGCATGTTAACCACACCTTCGATCAGCACGGTTGGCTACGTACTGTGCGAAAGAAGTTCAACATGCATGTTCCTCGTAGGGCTCAATGCATCAGTAAACCTACGACGCAAGGCAGGACCTATTCATTTTAACACCGGCCATGAATTCACGCAAGCGGACGGCGTAGCGTTACAGGATGCAGAGCAGCAGTTACGAGAGTCACAAAGTTGAACACGGAGCTGCCATGGTTACCGATCGTATCGTTTTACTGACAGGTTGGTTTGCCCGTGACCAAATCGCGAGCAATGCCTCCCTCGCAGTGCGGGATGAAGCTAGTGCGGGCCTATAGCATATGTTATAAAGGGACCCTAAAAATATACATAAAGATTAAAACAAGCACTTTTTTACTTGCAAAGTAAAGTCATTGTATTTTTAAATTTGCCATACAGCCGGATAGTACGACAAATCGCTAACCTTAAACACCTAGTCGTTCATAAAAGTTTAAGGCGGTATAGTACTATAGTAATAGAGCAAGTGCAAAATCACTGAACCGGAATTGATAGCTTGAAAGCATTTAGCGCGGGGCCCTTCAAAGTGCAGGGCCCGAAGCTACTACTTATGTAGTAGCTACTAATACATAAGTAGTAGCTACTACCTATGTAGCTACTACTTATGTAGCTACTACATATGTAGCTACTTTTGCTACGAGGATAATCCGGCACTGCCCCCTCGGTCCGGTCAGACGTCGAGCCTGGATAACGACAGCCCCGCGCAAGAGAGGCGCGCCTTTGTCTCTCTCGTGGCGATGTTTACACATCGCATCGGGTACTCATTTGAGGCTGAGTCGACCTTGGGAGAGGCCCAGGAACGGTTCAGATAATCGTCACCCGTGTTGGTAGCAGTGAGCGGGAATAGAATTCGTAGCACGGCGAATTGACCACTTCACTGCAAACACAGACAAAATACAAAAACAAAGATCCCCCGTATAGCCTGAACAGACTGTTGGGGAAAGTGTTGTAAGCGAGCACCTTTGAATGCCGGCACAGCACACGAGGAGCTGGGTGACCAGCATCACGCCCGGCCGCCTTTGTCTCCCCAGTGGCGATGTTTTTACGTACCGCACTGGGTACTCATTTGAGGCTGACTTGACCTAGGGGAGACCCAGGACCGTTTCAGGTGATCTTCATCGGTGTTGGCCTTGAGCGGAAATCGAACTCGTGTGGCCGGGTTCGCAAGCGCAGCTAACTAACCTCTACACTACCACACAGGTACACAGGCGCACACACAGCAGCAAGAGCCGCCGTGCACGTCATCACAGTGCTTGTGCCAGGTTAGGTGCCCTTTGAGGCCACTCGCGCACAGTCACGCATACACGTTACATCACCTGCTGCTGCTCGCATACATTGGACCCTAAAGTCAGAGACAAACCCCAGAGAACCACACGCGGTGAGGAACGGGTGCCAGAGACCGCCGCAATGAATTAAAGATGCCTCTGGGTCACGCTCTGCCTTTGCCAATGCCACTTGGGCGAGCATGAATATTTGATGGAAATGCTGCTCCACGTTGGCACGGCAACCAATGATGAAGATGCTCCCGATGATGGAGGTGGTGATGATGATGCCAATGTCCTCCGACGCTTCCCCATTCATTTATCTCCGCCCAGCAAACCCACCGACCCGCCCACTGCCCCGGTATCGTCTCGGGCTTGAGATGAGAGATCGGCAATTAGTGACGTGGATGGAGTGGGCCCTGGTGCAGGGAGTGAAATGCGGCTCCATTCCAACTTTGACCATTTTTATTTCTCTAACAGCGCAGCAAATTCTGGACGGTGGCGCATGCATTTAATAATTACTATTTTAAGCTATTTTTTTGACAGATGTCCAGTCGGGACACGGGTTCGAGAAGTTACAACAACAAACACTACAAAAACATAATAGGAGTCAAAATTTATGGGAAATCACGAAATAACATATTTTTATGAATCTAAACTATTTTACTTTACCAGGTAAGGCCCACTGCGATACATAGCTCGTTTTGACAAGCGACCTGGCCGCCAATGATAGCTCAAGGAATGGGCTAATCACGTGGAAATGTACAGCGGCTAAATACTTTAAACGCGTGATGTTGATTCTAAATCTGGATGGAAAAACCGGAAGACCCGGAAAAATAATTCACGCGGCCACTGGGAAGAGAGACAGCAAGCGTCAGGGTCGGGCTCGAACCGACGACCTCCTGTATACCAGGCGAGGTAGTTAACATCTCCTAGCCACCGTGGCGCCAATTAATAATTGTTATTATAAAATAATAATCATGCCAACTTGTAACGCGCCGCCGTCACCGGACGGTATTCGCTCCTCGTTCTCGAAGCCAGAGGACGACCCAGAGACGCCGGGAGGAGGAACCACAGACGAGCGGTGAGGGCAGGCGGCCAGGCGGCGAGCCAGCGCTGCTCACAATTTCCCAAGCTCTGCGGTCCTCTATACATCAAGGCGTTACCGGCCCAATTATTGAGCCTTTACGTGTGGGAGGAAACTGGAGCACATGGAGGAAACCCAGGCGTGCGAGGGGGCAACACTGCATCCCCCGTACAGATGGAACAGGTGGAGTCCACATTCTGCTTCACTGCCTTCTTCCTGGCGAGCCACGGTACGGCTCCTCGTCGACGCCCACGTGAATCAAGTTTCACAGCCCATCTCTGTGTGATCCATCAACCCTCCTTGTCTCCACAGTGCTGGACTGCAGGCTACGTCAATATCCATCACCGCCCGGTTAATTTAGACACAGACCTGGCGGGCTGCCTGAGAATTTGTTCCCGGCCACAAATAACCATATCTGAACCGGAATGGACCACCAATTACTCTTCAGCAATCCGCACTGACCGGCGTGGTGAAGTATGGTCAAAATACCCAAA